TACCTTGGAGGATTGGAGTTCAGTATTAATGTTTAGATTATTTACCAGCAAAATAGATTCAGCCTCCTTCATATTGAGAAATACACAAGAGGAAAATTTAGCAATGTACAACCAGACCCTCTGATTTACTAGACATTTTACCTTCATTTATTTCCATCTTCAGATAAATGGGAGTATGCCAAAGAAATCAAGCAATTTCTAATAAAAGAAGAAGGTTATAAAGTTACCTGGGAATTTGCTAAGCATATCAAAAAGAACTATGATTTGATGTCTAGGAAAATTCACAAGATTTTAAGCAGTTTTGTTCTCAAACTTATGTGTTAATACACAGACAGGACATTTGTTTCTTCCTTAAAGCTGAGTTCCCCAATATTGTGTTTTTAAAAATTAAGATGAAATATTTCTGAAATAAGCTTGCCATATCTAGTCATGTGTTGTTGTTGATTGGTTTTCTGGTTATGGTTTTTGGTCCCCTGAAGTAAGGTTTCAAAACAACAGAAAAATATTGATTCAATGGGCAACCAGTTTAAATTCAAAGATATGGCTGGTTATTCATAAACATTTTTTTTTTTTTTTTGGTGAGTCACTCATTGGCCAGTAGGTTAGAACTCAAGTTAAGTTCAATTACAAAAGCATCATTTGGAAAATATGGTCAAAAGCAGCTCTGAAAGTTATATTTCAACAACTGACATAAGAATGTCAGTAATCTGAAACTTCTTCAAGTTATTAGAAATAATCAATATGATATGCTCTAAAACACTTAAATGCAACACAAATGGTAAAGCTGACTTAAACTTTTCAGTTCCACTTTACTTGCTTCTGGCAGCTGAAAATGTCTGACATGAAGAGATATGCCAGAAGAAATTGAAAATAAATATAATACTGACAAACAACATTTGCTTTCAATTTATTTAATTATAAGTATGTATTAACTTTCTATCAGGCTTTCAGAACTTCTTATAAAGTAGTAATAAAAGATATGACTTCTCAATTCAATATTTCAACTTGTAAATCTTTGAACTCAAGAGCTCTAAGTAATTTCATTCTATTATATCTCATAAATATACATATAATTATAATATTAACATATCAACATATGTCTCCTCAGGCAAGTGAAACAGAAGAAAATGTAAACAAATGGGACTACATCAAATTAAAACATTTTTGCACAGTAAAGAAAACCATCAACTACTGAATGAGAGAAGATATTCATCAATGATATGTCTGATAAGGGGTTAATATCTAAAATATATAAGGAACTCATATAATGTAACACCAAAAAAAAAATCTGATTTAAAAATGGCCAGAGGACCTGCATGTACATTTCTCCAAAGATAGTCAATAGACATGTGACAAGATGCTCAACATCATTAATCACCAGGAAAATGCAAATTAAAACCACCATAAGATATCACCTCACACCTGTTGGAATGGCTAACATCAATAAACCAATAATCATGTTGGTGAGGATGTGGAGAAAAGGAAACCCTTATGCACTGTTGGTGGGATTGTAAATTGGTACAGCCGTAATGGAAAAAAAGAAAGAAGTTTACTCAAAAAATTAACAGAAGTGCTATACAATCCAGCAATTTCACTTCTGGGTATTTATTTGAAGAAATTTAAAACACTAATTTGAAAAGATACATGCAACTCTATTTCATTGCAGCACTATTTACAACAGCCAAGATATTGAAGGATCCTAAGTGCTCATCAATAGACAATTGGATAAAGACGAGGTGGCATGTATATACAATGGAATACTACTTAGTCATAAAGAAAAAATGTAATCTTATCATTTTCAGCAACATGGATGGACCTAGAGGGTATTATGCTAAGTGAAATAAGTCAGAGAAAGACAAATACCATATGATTTCACTTATATGCGGAATCTAAAAAAACAAAATAAATAAACAAACAAACTCATAGATACAAAGAACAAATTGATGGTTACCAGATGAGAGGGTGGGGGGATGGGTAGAAAAGGGGAAGGGATTAATATGTACAAATTGGCAGTTATAAAAATAGTCATGGGGATGTACAGTAGAGAATATAGTCAATAATATTGTAATAACTATGTATGGTGTCAGAAGGGTACTACACCTATCAAGGTGATCACTTTGTAAATTGTATAAATATCTGATCACTATTTTGTACACCTGAAACTAATATAATATTGTACGTCAACTGTCTTGAAAAATAAAAGAAACTAAGAGTTACTAGATTGTCAAAAAATAGGAATTTTTTTGTTGTTCTGGCGAGATGGTAAATTTTGTAATGTCAAAGCAAAAACTGCAATGAACAGAGTTAGAAAAGAACACTTTTATTCAAGGCTATGCTATAAGAAAGAAACATGAGAACTTAGTCTGAACTCAACTCCACTGAAATGAAAGATGGAGATTTTAAGATCTGAGGTGAGGAATGAAGGGGAAATTTTCTAAGAGTTGGAGTGGAGGGAAACCTAGTCATCTGCATTTGCTAACTGACATTATCCAAAGGAAACAAACAAACTTTCTCTTATTCTCACGATAGGACACAGTATTACAACTTAGAGCAAGGTCCTTACCCAAATCAGGCTTTTACCCTCCCGCATAGATTGGGAGACAGGAGCCTAGCTTCCTTGGTGATTACATTAAAAAGAGATGGCTCTCCCCAGTACTTGAGAAAGCCAGTCCTGGACTGTAAAACTGACAAGTCTTTGAAAAGGTTTACATCTCAAAAGACCACAGAAAGAATCTACAATGATAAGTTTTCTAAAGTAAATGCTCTAAAAAAAGGGAGGTTGGAGGACTCTCGGGTTAGGCCTCTGGATTCTGTAATAAACAAGGTGAGAGGGAGGTCAGGGCCTAGAGGTAGAAAGAGGCCTGTCTAAAGTTTTGTCAAGTTGAGGGAAATGATAAGACCAGCTTGGTTCACTGAAGAAACATTTAATAAAATAAAGATATCAGTATCAAATCAAATGTATAAGCACAAGCAGATATAATCTACCACATTTTGTTATCATCAAAGTGCAAGTGTCAATTCATTACACACACAAAAAGGCATTCTTATTCCTTATGCCTGCCTTGGTTTCACTCTTTAGACCCGCAGTTGGCAATCTAAGGCCCACAGCAAAACCGGTCCACAGCTTTTGTTTTTAAAAAAAAGTTTTATCAGAACATGGCCATGCCCATTTTTTTACTTAATATCTAGGACTGCTTTTACACTAGGAGTACAGAGTTGAGCAGTTATGACAGAGATCATGGGACCCAGAAAACTGAAAATATTTACTATCTGGTCCTTTACAGGAAAAAAAATTTTGCTGACTTCTGCTTTAGACTAGTTTCCAGTGTGAGACAAGGCTTTATCAAAACTGAGTCTTACAAACATTATAGGACCCCATTCACTTGCAGGTCACTTGATACCAATAAGTATCCAAAAATATTGTTTTATTATTGTCATTTACATAGGTTAAAATAGAAAAATACAAGTGATAAAATTAAGGAGAGATGACTCTTTCTTAAACTATCATACATTTACCATTTTTCTATATTAATATGATTGTGCTCAGAATATGAGAAACATGAAATAAGCTCACAGATATATTTGCAATAAATCTAATGTGATCCTTCTTTTATTAGGATTCTCTCTAGAAGATATATGTATTTTTTAACATAGCTCTGTCTTGGCAGAACGCTTCATTTACTTTGGACTGTTAATAATAGTTACATTTTAATTGTATTCAGATTTCATACTAGGTGTTCTGTGGAATTATAGCCACTGACTTGGGACACTGCAGATGGCAAACTCACAGACTCCACTTGGCTACCCGATCACAAAATAGGCTTCCTCGAAAGGAGTAAGCTCCCTGTTACTGGACATGAACAAGCAGAAGAATGATGCCCACCGGTCAGGGATGCAATAACAGGGTTTCCTGATTTGGAGGGAGGTTCATTTAGGTGACCTATAAGTTTCTTTTCATGCCTAAGAAACCAATGTCTTTATTATTTAACATTAGGTCATTCTGTAAAGTGAAAAAGCACACACATTTTATCAAAACATTTAAAGAAATTAATTTTTACATATGCTGTTCCACAAATATGACTAGTGATTAAATGCTATGAACAGTAAACTTTGAAGAAGAGCACAATACACATCAATCATTAAGATGGTTGAAAATGACTATCTGGGCCAGCATCTATTTCACTCATGTGAAAAATGATTTGGTTGTTAATAGGAAAGAACAGTCTTATAATATATGTACATAGTTTACTTATTACATATGGCATATGTATATGAACAAGGTGCATTTACAATCTTAGACCAGGTTTCAAAAGGTAAACTATAGGCAAGTAATAACCCCATTCCGAATCCTTAAACTCCTCAGTAGTGGTTATGTGTCTGTATGGGTCACTTCTGTATAGTTATTTTTACTAGAGTGTTTGGATTCTATGGATGCTCAATAAATATTGGTTTTACTGAATTAGCAGCAACTATATAAATATAGAAAGAAACAATATAGTCTAATGTTAGGGTCAAGATACTGTAATGGCTCTAGATGTATCACTGACATTAATAAACTCTGTAACCTTGGACAATGCACTTCAATCATCAGGCTTTAGTTTCCTAAGATACCAAATAAGGCATTGGTTCTCAATCTTCGGAGCGTAAGAGAACTACATATAGGACTTATTAAAACACAGATCATTGGGCCCAACCCTCAGAGTTTCTGATTTAGTAGGTCCAGGGTAGGATGGAGAATTTGCTAAGTTCCCAGGTGCTGCTAATGCTGTGAGCCAAGGGGCCACACTTTGAGAACACAAGAAGGACTGGGAATATAGTGAGAGTGAATTACCAAATCTTTAATACTCTATAGCTGTAAGAGAGAGGGTAGCCAGCATCAAACTGGCACATTAAAATGTAATTGTCTTTTTAATCAAAATTTTGTTTGAATTAGGAGATGATCTTTTTTCTTTAGATTTCAACAAACATTTTTGAACACATAAATGTTTGATAGTACTTACGTCATTGCTTGATAAATGGATTCAATTCCATAACGCATGGCAAATTCATCAACTATTTCTTGCGAAGCGTCATCAAAGAAAACCTTCCAGGCTTCATCCCCTTTGACCTCGGGGATTTTCACTACACCATTAGATTTCACTTCAGTCAAGTAATGGAACAGATTCTAAAAGTAAATGGTTTTCAATTGTTCAATAATTTCTTAGAATAGTCCAGAAATATTTAACCATAACTTTTAGTAAATTATACTTGCATTGTAATTGCATCTAATGTTTCATCAACATCTATAAGCAATAGAATAGCTTGGATTTTTATTCTAACTATCCTCATCTTTATGCAAATTCTGATTTTATTTCTGCCTGGATCTATACAGAATCAATGATTCAAATGTTTCATACATACCAAATCATTTTAGAAGTAAAATTTTTTGTATGTAAATATTTCTAAATGCTAGTACATATTTTGCGTTCATGGGTACTGAGTAAATTATAGAACCCTGGATGAATAATCTGATTTTGGTTATGTTACTATAGAATCTAGGAATGTAAATGATGCTAAATGGCTTTGGCTGCAAAATGGTAGGAATCAGGGCAATGAATTAAGGTTGAAAATGAATGTTTGAGAATTTTGTAATGGAAAAACTCACTACATACAATTCCTTTTTGCTTCAAACAAATTTAGGAACTGTTGCATGAATGTAGCCTGTGTCAGGGAAGGACCCTTTCTTGGATTTCAGTTTTTTGGTTCTTGGACCAGCAAAAAAAGGCTCTGAAAAGCAAAAGCATAATGCTGTCTCTCTGATCCCAAATCTTCTCTGTCCACACTTTAAGGCCTGAGTTGGCTCCCATCTTGCCAGTTCACAGGATTTTTTTTTTTAAATTGGTCTGAAAACTTAACCATTAACCACATTTCTTGAAGAAATAACACTGGACAGATTGTAGTCAGGAATTTAAGCCTGTTATTGTATAATGTGCAAAAACCTTAAATACTGTTCTTCAATCCTTCTTTAGTAAATCCTTCTTTTGGCAAAGAATTACACATTCAAATTTTCATAGATATATTTAGGAAAAATAATATGCAAAGAGTAAAGATTCTCTCAATTATCTATTTCTGTTTTAGTAAAGTACTTTCTCTTTAGCTCTTTAAACATGGGGAAAGGTGCATTCTTTGACTTCACCTCATATTTTTTGATACATAGGACAAGAGTCATTTATATCAGAGAAAGGTTCTGGTTAACACCTCTAATTAAGCTCTTAGATGAAAAGCATTCAACAGAAGCCCAAGACTATTTGTCTGTGTATCTACACTGAGGCACAGCAGGGAACTGGTGATTCTGTCTTTTAGATACAAATTGGGTGGACTCTAACTCCCTGAAGCCATTTAGGCCCTAACTTTTGGATGGGTATATTCTCTACTACCATGAGTGGGTAGTAAATACATCCTGACACTCTTCATATCCAGATATGTTTGTAGTAAGGGTAGTTAAATGGTGAAGGGTTCAATATGTCTGAAGCCTTTTGTGGTACTCAGAAAAAGGAGGAAAAAAATCACTGCTTATTACATTGGTTCCCAAAAGCCATAGATACAATATCATCATTTTTATATTTCTAGTTGTAAATAATATTCTTAATTAAATCTTTAATAAAACTAGAACGCTAGCTCAGAGTTCTCAAAAACAATCATGTTATTGGATCCTTTCCTGCATTGCTAAAGTACTCTATTGTTAATTGTTCCAAAATATTTGCCATGACTTATTTCTTCAATGAATGCTTTTTAACAGTCTGTCCTCCTTGGAAGAATGGTAATTTCATTTGGCCTATTTATTCATTATCATCTTATTGCCTTTTTTATTAATACCTGCCTCAAGTGCTTGTTCTAAACTCTCATTAGAGGACACTGGCCCTCTCTTTAGGGGGTAATTCATATGCTGTCTGATACCCTAGCTCATTACTACCATAGCACAGAGTAAGAACTCCAGGAACAACTCCGCAAACCTAATTCAATCATATTTTTAAATCAAGCATTTTGTTGTATGATCCATAATCAAGACCAATTTATTTTCTAAGTTTTATTATTAATACAATTCAATTTACTTACCTCATGTAAACATGTATATTGTATATGATATGGAGCAACCTTCTCCTCTCCTTTTATTTCCACATTGATTTTCAAACGAATGGCTCCAGATACAGCTGACTTATCTGTCCGTTTCTCTGATAAAGTGAAAAGCAATTGGTCTGTCATTTCTAACAATACCATATTTCTCATACAATTTCTCAAAAGCTTTAAAGGAGACGAACATTGCTAAAAACCATTTTTTCTATATCAGGTTTGATTATTATCTAACCATATGATTCTGCTAAATATAATTTAAAATAATGTGCCTATTGTGTCAGTGTGATTGTATAACTGCATTATAGAAAATTCACATAGAAAACCTTAATCAGAAGACCCTGCCATTCTGATATAAATTTCTGTGTACTTGGTTAGTTTATACAACAAAATTAAATTATTTGGGCAATTAAAAGCAATATAACTCAAAGATACAATTAACCAGGAAAGTATTTTATCTAAAAGCATCCACTTCTCTTTCTCCACTTGAAAAGTAAAGCTCTGACCAATTAAAAGAAATTATTAATCACTATTTTTTGTTAGTGATTTATAAAGAGCTATAGTCTATACTCTGTGTTTACTTATGAGTGTTGGAGTAACTATTTGAATGGACTCAATATGTAGTTAATTCAGTCACATAATGTGTGTAGGGCATGCACACATGTGTCCAATATGAACCAATCAATAGCTTTGAGAGAAATAAAAACATAGTCACAAAATTCCTAGAGTGTGAATGTAGGTAGAGGATCTACATTTGACACCTACTTCACAAATGAAATATAAAGGGGCAAGCTGACCCATTTCACAAATGAAACTGAGGGCAGCAGAAGTGGTGAAGACTTCTTTAATTGACCTTCTTTCTAAGTATAACTGTATTTTTAGCCATATGTGATAATATTAAATCTTAAAGTCTACTACTTTCTTCTTATGAAATGTCTGCTTAAATTTTATTGTTAATATTTAACAGTAATTGTGCTATGAAGATTCTCCCATCAGGAGTGCCAGGATCATGAGAGTTTCTCTCACTGACTGGGTGATAACTGATTCTCAGCAAATATTTACATTCTCTGCTGGTGCCAAGAGAAATGCAAGTCCTAGGACTTTTTATGCCACAAAGCCCTTTCTAGAGCCCAGGGAAGGAGTACTGGTTCTTTGATTTTAATTATCATCATCCTACGAGGTTCAAGGGACACAGGCTCCACTTGGATGCCTAGGGCTTTCAGCTAATTTCTCTTCTGCATGGTGGAATAAATTCTAAGTGATGAGTAAGGAAGAACATTGTACAAAGCATGAAAATATGGTGCTTAAGTGGATTGAACCACTGAAGGATTTTACACAAAGCTAAAACCTGTCCTCCATTCTTCCTTCTTCATTTTAAAAGGTTAAACACCAGCAATGAGGGCATGAAAGAACAAATTGAGGATGAGCAGTCAAAAGCTTCCATGTCATGTTGCATCATATTTTCCTCTCCATAGACAGAAGGGCAGTTTCAGCATGAGAGCTGGGGAGCTGACTTTACTAGTGGCACATTCAAGTGCCTTAGCATACCAAATACTATATCCATGGATGCTTTGTCAAAGAAAAAAAAAAAGTCTGAGGAATTTCTGTTATGGATTCTTACTGCCTCAATTCAAAGACATACTGCCTTAGTACAGAAAAACAATGTCTAGGCAAATCACTTTAATTAAAACATAATTTATGACTATCACGCAGAGTTGATGGCCTAACATTTACCCTTGCCTAACATCTCTATTTTCACATATAAAGCTGTTCAAGAGGATAAACAAGATATAGAAGGATGATCATTATAACTGAGGTAAAAATTTTAAGCCAATAATGTAGATGCATCAATTCTCTTTAAGGAAGACTTCTTTAAAATAAAACATTTTTGATAATGAGTTCTTAGTTGAGCTTGAATTTTGTGTCAAGATAAGTTATATATCTCTCCTTTAAATTATTATATAATCTAGAGTTTAGTGAGTTCTATATGACTTTATCCCTTTACTTTGTCAAATATTACATTACTTGAAGTATAAGATTTTTAAAAACCCAAAAGCACTCTTTAATTGCTAAAATATATTGATATCCTAAATGGAAACTCTTTATAACCTTAGAACTGTGTAAACCATTCTTTGATTCACACCAGCCCTTACGAATTTAATTAAAACATTTCAGATGATATGATTAAGAAACTTTGGATCATGTCCTTTACAGAAACGGAGGTGATCCATCTATTTTTACTGTTATTAAGTCAGCACTGAAGATCTAGGTTATTATCCAATTTTAATAAAAGTCAAATTTAAACATATTTAATTCTTGGTTCCATAATAAAATTTCATTTAGAAATCATGCCAATTAAACGTATTGTCAGCATTGTCATGATTAGAGTAAATGTTAAATCCACACATGTACTTGGTATTGACATCTAAAGCCAACTTTTATGTCACTGTTTGGAAGATATCCAAAATACACTTTATTGCCAAAATTTTTAAGAGACTAAAAGGAAATAAGTCAAATAGTACTGTCATAGGTTGATTATTTGTTTTGATACATTCGGCAAAAGTTTTTGGAGCTACATTTTATAGTTTAAAAATTGAGAATGGATAATGGTTTTTTTCTAAAAGACATCCAGTTGATTCTTTGAAAGGCTTTTCCTTTTTCATCTCAAATTTACCAATTTTTTCAATACTGAATTTGACTAAATAATTATCACCTTTAGTTTCCAATGAAATCGAACTGTCTAAAGTCCAACAGAATTTTTCAGAAAGACATTGATTATTTTTATCTCTATGGAAATATAATATATGCCACAGATATTCTGGAATTTTAACTTTTTCAGATAGTCACCTAAGTTGTACCAGACATCCATTTCTCCACTCAAGGTCCTCACTTCTACAATTGTTTGTCCCAGAAAATCATCTGACTCCTTTTTGAAATGTTGCTTGACTCTGGATTTAATATCATCATCTTCGTCCCACACTCTGACTTTGATTCGATCTGTGGAGTTATGGCACTCACTGCAAATAAATGTGGATAAATTAACAACCACTGACAACTGCTCTAAATGGCATTTGATGTTAGTAACTTATTTTAAGTCTATCTAATCCAGAAAGGCATAGTAAAAACTCCCTCCGACCCATTTCATCGATGGGATGTTGCAGGTATCAGAGATATTGAAGAAAAGTTGCATTCGTTAAATAATATAATCAGAGAAAATCATACCTCATTTCATCCTATTTCCTTGAACTGAACTAGATATAATCAAATTTAAGTCAGAAATCTTTGGGTTATTTCCTCTATGATGTATTTCTTATTCATAATGGTTATCTATAGCAACATTTCCATGCTCAGAAAATTCTGCACCATAAATATAAAGCTAATTTTACTCTAATGGGTATTGAGAAAGTGGATATCACATAGTCCACTTGATAAACTAATAAATAATAACAATATAATAATAACATATTGTTAAATCAAGAAGAATTAGGGTGAAATCCTTTTGTTTTTAAAAATAATTTGCTAGATGTGGTTCCATAGTATAGTGGTTAGCACATCTGCTTTACACGCAGAAAGTCTTGCTTGGGTTCATACCCCACTGGAGCTATAGTCCATGGTCTACAGTCATGCCACCCTGAACAAGCCCGATGTCTGATCTCAGAAACTAAGCAGGGTTGGGCCTGGTTAGTACTGGGATGGGAGACCATTTAGGAAGTCCAGGTGCTGTAGCCATAAATAATAATAAATAATAAAAAAATAAAATAAAAATAATTTGTTTATTTTAGTCCATTCCTCATTTTCAGGTTTCTTCCACCACCTACTGTTGAAGCAAACTACTTAGTATTATCCACACATACATGGTCTTTCTTGACACTCTGGCTTTTATACACACACTTCCTTATGCTTTCCTGCCTGGTGCTAGTCAATCATTCCCTTAAGAATCAACTAGTCATCTGTTCTATATAATTTTTATTTTTTTACAGATTTCTGAACAAGTTAGGATGATCAACCCAGAGCTCCCAATTTACTCTGTAAATGCATTCACTCCAGTACAGGGGTCTTTAACCTGGCATTAGTGGATGAGTTCTGAGCATCCCTGAGGTCGGATTAAAAAACTAATAAAACAACTTCATCTTTTTCCTTAAATTATGAATATAGGCAACAAACCACAGCAGTATTATCAGTATATGTAAGATTTTCATTACCAATAAAACCAGAAATTTCCATATAATTTACATATACATTTACAAGGTTGTGAAACTTGAAATATTTATAATTATCTTTACTATACCAAAACTAAATCAATATAATTTATTTTATTTCCAATTTTATGTATTTTATTTTATGAATTTAAAAAATATAATTTTGAAAAAGTGTCCAAAGTCTTCACCAGATTGCCAAATGGACTCATGGTACAGAAATTATTTAAGAACTCCTGACAACATACTGTCTCTCCCATTAATCAATAATATAGCACATATAAAAATGACACTTGAGGTTTGACATGTCAATGTGCAGATCACAGCTCCACTACTTCTACTCAATGTGAGAGTTTTCAACACAGAGAATTTTGACAATTTCTTGGTTTTTCGGTCATCAAAATTGTTGAAGAGTATTATTGGCATTCAATGGACCAGGTCAGGGATTTAGACACTTTGCTCTCTACAGACAGTGAACATGATTTGAAACGACCCAAAGGCATGGACAAAGATGCCTTCGTCCTGGTAAGGACCTCAATGTGGGACATCGCTTTGTATAAAAACACCAACTTTTTCACATGTTTTACTAGATATTGAAATTTCTTGACAAAGAACTAGTATGTAAGTCACTAATCATTAAAGTAAGTTTTTGTTGTTGCTCAGAGCCTTACAAAGGTTGTTTTTCATTTTGAGAAATTATATTACCAATGCCGAAACCACTCAAAGTATTTGAATCAAAATATTTGTGTCAGTCTGCATTTGGGGTAATTACGTTTGTGGTAATTCTACCTACAAATAAAAGCATGTCTACTAAACCATATATTCTAGGGTAGTTGTGTCTACCCTTACATATTAAAATACATATTAGACTACTTTTATTTTTCTTTTATATTATAGTTGGAAAGTTATATTGATTTTAAAGTTATATTGATGAATTGCTTAATTTTGTTTCAGAATTTTAAAAAATCTTGAATTATTTTATATAAAAAGAATAAATGAATTGAAAACAGACCCACAAATACAGAGGACAATCAGGTGATGGCCAGAAGGAAGGAGATTTAGCGGGGCAGGGAGAAAGCAATGAAGGTTTAAAGAAGTACAAATCAGTAGTTGCTAGAGAGTCACAGGGATAGGGACCATGGCATAGGGAATGCAGACAACAGTAAGGTAATGGCTAGGTATACAGCCAGAGGGAAGACAGAGTAATCAGGGAGATCAGTTCATAAACTATATAAGTGTCTAACCAATATACTGTATACTTGAAAATAATAATTTTAAAAAAGGTCATTAGGTCTAATAGATTGAGAACTATTTCTATGACTTAACCTCTATGAATCTCAGTTTATCTATAAAGTAGGGGTAATAATACCTATCTTACAAGATGTTTATGGTAAATAAGTGAAATAATGTCTTATAGCAGTTAGTGCAGTGATACATAATGTTTGACCTATATTAGTCATAGTATTATAATGCCATTATTTCATAAGTTCCTTTCAAATTTAGAGCCTGTTTGTTAATATCTCTATCCTTGACACCGTTTCTAGCATGTATCACTCATTCAAAGAATTCTATGGAGGTGAACACACAATGTAAATATATATATGCCTTACTGTTAAAATATATAGCTGAAACTTATTGGATTTATTAACTAATGTCACCATAAAAAAATAAATTAAAAAAAAACAAATTTTAGATTAAAAAAATTTGAAGGAAAAATAGTTTTATAATTCTTAGAAATATCACAATTATCAAAGAAATTCTCCAACTTTGATAGCTATTTTATTGGTAAAATGTGGTAGAAATAGCAGGGAGAAAGGAAGAATCAATCCATGATACAATATCCATAGCCGCTAACAATGCCCACTTTCAACCAAGGGCAGCATTTAGAATGGATAACAGCATAGCTGCCTCCCACCTACTCAGAATTCCAAAGATAACTACAAAAAGCACACAACTGAAAGTAGTAAGAACATATAGATAGTAAAATCTTTGGCAATTTACCCAAAATTTATATTAGAAATGACTAAGGTTTTAATTTCTTTGTTGTCAAAAAAAAAAAAAAGTCTATGTAGAAACAAAAATCCAACTACCAGCTCATTTGCCTCATTCTTAGAAAAATAATGAAAGAAAATTTAAAAATATCAGGAAAAATAGTTACCATTGCCATAAACTTAAAACTCAAAACATTACGAAAGCAGAAAGAAGTCCCTTTTGTCACCTTTTGATAGATCACCAGAGTTCATGTAAATTCTAGGAGACAGAAATCTAATGTATTTTTTACCTGCAAATAACAGGTACAATAAATAGCAAGCTCTAGATAATAAAGATAGGCAAGTATCTCTAGAATCTATTCTTTGACAAAATATGCTGTTTTATTTTGAAGAAAAAATATTTGAGGCTCTAGTTCCTGTTATAAATTTAAAGATTTTTAGCTTGTTAAAAATATACACAAATAGTAATCCATATAAAACAGTAATAATGTATATGTATGTACGTACATACATATACACATACATGCATATACACATATATTATCATCTCTCCCTCTTTGTACATAATTTAAAGATGTATATGCACGCATATACTACGTACATGAGTATGCTATATAGCAAGAGGGAAGAGAGACAATACTATCTTTCTTTCCAAATTTCTATTAGAAATAGCTATTTTTTTGTACCAAGTGGAAGTATACCTTTCAAATGACCATTCATATTTTCATTAAGTTTCTTCACTAATTCATTTTGCATTTTTTTTTGTTTTTATTATGACATCAAAAGTTCACTATGCCCTCATCCAGATATCCATCTATTTATTCAGTCTCCCTTAAATTGTTATTTATTGAGCATCTGATAATGTGCTACACACAATTGAGGCTTACTGAAGTTACAAAATTCAACCAACAAACCTCTTCCTTTTTAAATGTCAAAATAAAATGTGAAATTAATGAATTCGGGACAAATACAAATAATCAATGATGTGTCCTTATAAATATACTTGTGATTTTTCTGCAGAGAATTTCAATCTCTCTGCATTTCTGATTGTATTTTTTCACATTTTAATTAAATAAACTTTTAAATTGGGAATAATTTTAGATTCCCAGAAAAGCTGCAAAGAGTATAGAGTTCCTGCATGTCCCACACCCAGATTCCCCTATTGTTAACATCTTACATTACTAACGCTAGTTCTATTTTTTTAAGACTTGCCAGTTCCTACTTTCTTTATATTTTCAAAAGAGGTATTTTTGAGAAATATTAAAAAATAAACAATGTTTCCCATTTTGTTTCAGGTTTAAACTGTCAGAAACTTAGATTTTGACCTCTACAGAGTAAAGACAGCAGTGGGACTGCTGTTTCAAATATTGTAAATGACAAGAGGATTTTGCAAGGGGTATAAAACCAGGGAGTGGCTGTATTCTGGGGTTTTGCTCTTTTGGCAACAGTGGTTGTGAAGTATTTAGTACTTTGATGCAAAGTTTCTGGTATTTAGTCCTGAGGGGCAAAAGTATTGATCAATGGTAGCAGTGGTGTTTTCTCCAAAGAAACCCCATGATATAACTGGACACTGTTTATACACAGTAGCTTCAGAGGCTGGCTCTCTCACCTCTCTAAAAATTCTTGAGTGACCTAAAAGTCTATCAAATAATCTTTTTCTGCATAAGCTAACTAGAGTACTGGAGTGAACTCTGTTATTCGCAACTAGGAATAGTGATGAATACAGTAATTTTAAAAGGATTAAGGGAGCTGCAACTGCAGAATTTAAAATGTGGAATTGACTCTGTGAGATGATATGGGCAGACAGTAAAGATTGAATTCCTCAGGCTG